TTGCTCGCTGCGTCTGGGGAATATCGCCGCATCCTCCGCCTGCAAGTCAGCCACATCAAGTAAGAAACAACCAGCTACAGCTTCGAATGTACTGAAACTCAATCGATAGCCCCGCTCAGCCAATGGATCCGGCATGGTACGAAGCCATCTAATTAGTTTCTTCGAATATTCCGATAACATAGCTCTGTCCTGCGTAGTCGTAGACGAGTGCAAAATAGTGAGCAGAAAGATCGATACAGCCTGCATCAAATAGTGCACGATGCTCCACCACGGCCCTTTCTCGTAGATGAAGAGTGGAAATGGCTGGTCTGGTAGAAAGTCTGCTGCAGTTTTTGCAGCTTCAACGCATATCTTTGCCATACGGAGAATGAAAGCCTGCGAAACGTTTGAATCCGTTGGTATCTGGCCGAGACCTCCAAGACACGGCCGTGTGAGAAGAATTCTCGCACTACAGAAGTGCAATCCCAGGATCATACGCTCGCGGGCGTGCCTGTCTGAGAAACGGCTTGGTCCTAAGCGCTGTGTTTGAAAGTCAAATTCCGGCGGTAGAGAGGCGGACCATTGATCAAGCCGTTGAACAAACCCGACGATATCGTTCTGTACGTCCCCTAGGGAACGAACCACTGTCCCAGTGGAATACAGGGTCAATATGACATTTTGGGTAATGAGGCCCATCTGAACTATGGCGCGAAAGAAAGATCCTGGGTTTGCTTCGGGTATGCTATTAGGATTTATTGGAATAAGAAGCCTTCCCATTGATGTGGTGGAAAAAGAACTTGCAATGGTCGAACTAGACGCCGCTGGAGTATTAGAAGGTACCTTTCTTAAGCGCTCCGCGTCCTCTGCTTTTTGAGTAAGTTGGTCCTCGGCGACGGGGATTGGCAAAGGGACGGAGCAGCATCCATCGACGATCATGCTAGGCCGCCCTGTGATGGCGCTGAGCAGGCGCTCAAGGGAATACAGGCTCCACCAAACTCGCACCAACATCTCCCTTCTAAAGAGCGAAGTCGACGGGTCCTCGTTGCGAATATGGAGACCGAGTGCAAAGGCGAAGCGCAGCGCTACGCCCATCATTACCCAAGACCTGAATTGTCCTTAACACCAGATCGATCGCGATAAGACTAGAAATAAAGGTTGGGTTGAAAGCACTTACCGGCTAACTTGTCCAGTGGAAATATAATAGAAGGACAGCAACCCAGTTATTTGGATTTGATTAACATCGGGATGGTTTGTAAGAGCTGAGGGGCCGAGTGCAAGAAATCGAGCACGTGCATGGTAGCTGAGGTGGTCTCGTTCTTCACCCTGCCAGCTCGCTTGAACGAGATGGGAGTATCTTGCACCGATAGCTAGGACAAGGTTCAGGATGGCGAGCCATTTGTGCGAGAGTGGGTTAGACTCTGCGGTGCCAGTTTTCAATCTTTCGAGGTACCTTCCGATTTTGTCAAGGAACACGGTGCGGGAAAAGATAGGGAAAGCTTCATGCACGGTTTGAAAATAGTAGTCCAGGAGGCGTTCCACAGTTTCAGGCGAGGGCAGCTCATAGGGATCAAGAAAATCGGGGTTGACATCAACGCCGTCACTATCCAAGTAGAAACTGAAGGACGTCACTTGCTCAACACTACCGATATTGGCCGAACCTCGTCTGCTAGGGACGGCTCCAGGGAACGAACTCTGTGACGTTGCTTTAGCTGACTCCTCCTTTTCAAGCTGTTGGATGATGCTGCGTAACCACTGGACCTCCGAGTTTTTCCCAACAAACCCAGTGGCCCGCGCGGTCTCGTCCCTTAGTAGGTTTTCCTCAAGCAGGTCGAGTGACTCAGTAGCCAATGAATTCATAGATCCTAGGCGGCTTGCCTCTCCGGCGGCTCTGGTCTCATCCGCATCAGTGTCAGGGTTCGATGACGTCGGCGTCTGTCGCATTTCAGAGATGTCTTCCTCTACCTACGCGTGCATTAGTTCTTAGCGTTGTAGCATCGTCTGTTGGCTCAGTAGCCGTACCGCCTCCAGCAGATCAGCGATCCTCGCGCTGTCCTCTTCGCCAGTGCGCGCCCTGAGGCCATTCAGCAGTTCGGCCATCTGAACGCACCGCTCGGTGACACTACTTCGTATCAGACTAAGTTCTATCAGCAATATTGGGAATGCACTAACATCCTCAGCTTATCCCGCCGCGGTAGAACGTACACACACTCCCGGCCGGCGACCTGGCAATGCCTGCATCGCGGTGTGTCACCTGTGCATTTGATCTTATGGCTTCGGCAGGCGGTGCAGGCCCGCGAGACCCGCCGGCGGTCTCTTGGGGTAGCACCCGTGTGGCCCGGGCGCTGCAGGCGAGGAATTGCTACCTTCGAACCCGATGCCGGCGACGCAAATGGCGACATGTCTTACTCTCTTTCACTGGCGCGTACTGGATTGCGATCGTGTTAAAAGGCGCCCACCGAGCTAGGGGTATAGTCAGGTCAGGTCCTGTGCGGCGGGATAAAAGCCCAACCGACAATAGCGTTGCGCGTGGATGGTGGTGCGGGGATGGTAATGATGCTGACAAGGCATGGGAACAACCGCACATGACGCCGATGAACTCACCGAGTAATACCGGATCAGACACTTCAGTGACGGGCACAGGCAGTTTTAAGTCGAGTGACACTGTCGAGGGCTTTGTATGATGAGGTAAGCCTCTCTTGGATAGCCTTCTGGTAGTCACCCGACTAATTAGGAAGATACAGGCGGCCTATTTGGGGAAGGGCGACGAATTGAGGACTACCATCGCATCGACGGAAACTGGCCGGCGACAAGCAAGCGAGAGAAGCAACCGCCCGCCTGGTCCGCCGGCGTGTGTACCTAGCACCTAGGTGCCACTAGGTTGCGTCTCTGCAGTGTCCCTTCGCCAGGGGCACCAGCAACACGGCCGAACTGGAGGGAAGTATCAGACGGAGGGAGCGGGCCATAGCCCCCCAAGGGATGCTCCAAAAAATGCGACCGGCGACCTCGAGTGCGTTGGTGTAGGCTGCTCGGCCTGCCTAGATACCGCTAGGTAGCGCAACAGCAACACGGCAAGGCTGGAGCGGCGGAGCAGACTGGTAGAGGGCTGTTAGAACGATCCATGGGGACTGGGGAGCGAGGAGCAGGACGCAAAAGTAGCGAGCAGAACGCAGAACGCAGAGGGAAGCGGGCAGAGGGTAGCGGGCAGAGAGAGAGAGAGCAGACGACTGCAGGGACACGGCATGTTCGCAATGCCGCCCGCGCCTGCCCCATCCAACGTCCCGTGGACCGCCAAGGTTGGTGTAGCCGTGCCGCGACGGAACCGAATCCGGCCCAATGAGAGCGCCGCCCGTGCTTTGGCTATGGCCGTCTGGGGCATCCCCTTGGCCTCATGAAAAGCTTGCCTCTTCTTCGCAGGGCCCCGTCCGCTCCACTACTCTCCTCATTCAACTACTACTTCTCTCCCCCAAGCACAGCAGGCCCTCCAGAAACAGCTCACCGCGATCCAGGCATGCCGCCACCTATCCCTCGAGAGCTCCCTAGACGCTGCATTTCTCCTTTCCCTAGCCGCCAAACATTTAACGATGGCTGTGATCCAGGACTGGGAACCCACAGCGCTCTGTTTGCGAGACTCACGTCGGGCCGCTGTCGTATGGACGAGGAACATAGCACATCAGCGTGGCCTACCTCTTGTTATGCGTCTCTTGCTTCACGACACTGTAAACCTCTAGGTCCCTTTCAAATTGGCTAGAAATGCCCGCCGGCTGCAGTCTTCTCGTCCTCTCGCCCTATTCACTCTTCCGTGCGGCAAGGACGCATAGACTGCCATCGGACCGCGTCACACCATAGAACCAACGGGGGGGAAACATCGCCCCCGCTCATGGACATCTCTGTCCTCTATCGTCAGAACACGCTCCAAGCCCAGTGGCTAGGCCCTACCATCGCAGAATCACTCGAGTTACAGCATCCTTATACACAGTGTAACGTGCTTGACCTGCTCCTTTCCCTACAGTTGCACCATCCCCCTTGCCATAAACGATAGCAGCGCACCCACTTCTACATCCGAATCTGATAGGATTCAGACAGCCAGCTAGTTCGCCTATGACGTGCAATATCCGCTCGAGGCGTTCCATGCGATACCCCTATATATTTAGCTACATGCCTCACCACATGGGCTTCCGCGTTGCGACACGTTGCATTACGTGCTCTCGAGTAGTTCTTTGTAATCATGCGATACATGATCCTATATTGATGGCTAGCCTTCCCGTGCAAGCGGAAACGTTAGAGTAACAAGGTCGTCCGCACCAATAAGCTGTCTCATTGAATATCACACCACATAGTGGCGGAGCGGACTTGGCATTAGAGTCGTCGCCTCCATGGTCAGATGCTCTACTATTCGTATAACATAAGCCGCTGATTGATCACGGCTTTCGGGCTATGGTCGGAAGGTATCTAGGTTAAGGGTGCTGTAATCTCAGAACTGGCAGTGCATCGACTATCCCGTCCTGATTTCCCCAAGGCAAGCTTCTAGTTGCTATCGGGCAGCTGATAGTTGATCGATAGCGCTCGAGAGAATGCAGATCAAACAAAGAACAATGATGAACGCTTTTATTCTCGATGCATCAATCGATGGGTATGGCAATTCGGCAATACTCTAGGCTAGTAGCAACAATCCAAATCTATCGTCTACTCTACAAACCCCCCCCCCCCCCAACCCCCTCATTCCCACAAGCGGATTGCTGGCGCGCCCCACTAAGGGCAATTTTCTCATACGAAAGACCGCCAAGCGATCTGTGTAATGATGGGCACTAGCAATCCGTTCATGGGAGGGGCTGCACTACAACCGCTCAGCTAAGTTGAAAAAAATTAAAAAAAAAAAAACGGCGTTGCCCTCACATAGCCGTCAACCAGCTTAGCCATTGGCGGTAACTCGGCATGTCTTTCTGGGCAGACATCGCCAGCAGCCAGCAACTACCAAAACGCCATCCATCGATGAAGCCAAAAAAAATTTGCACAACAGATAATGCATCGGCCGGGAATCGAACCCGGGGCTACATTTATTGTAAGCTGCTAGTCGTAAATTTGTTGATGAAATCTTACCTAGCCGACCTCGAATGAATGGCAACGGCTAATTTTACCACTAAACCACCGATGCAATTGATTACTTTGGATAGAGCAGTTGATGAAGTAATATATATAGGCAAACGTAATGAATAGACGTCGTGGTATGAGAGGAAACGAAAGCAAATCATCTGCGAGACTAGACAAAATCCATTGTGCGCATGAGACAGTGGGGCATCAGTTCCGGGGAGGGGAGTGGATGCATTGACGAGGACGCTAGCGTCTATAGACCGCTCCTGCCGGAAACACCTCCACGCCAAGGAAAAGGAGCTTCAAGTCGCGCTTGCGTCAGGACCGAACATTCAGCAGTACGCGATTCCAGAAAGACATTTGATTTCCTGGTTGTTCTTGGGGATGACCGCACGTAGAACTATAGCTAGCGACTCGAGTGTACCTTTCGTGCATCCAATGGATATGTCTACGTTGATGAGGACCTTTCCAATGATGAGTTTGAACTCATCGAGCCTAAAATTCAGCCTTGTAGTAAACAGGATCCGGAAGGAAAGGGAAGGGAAGGAGTCGAGCCTCTCAGGTTGATCTCACCATTAATCTCACCAACGCCCAGGATACCAAGTCTGAACGGACATCATCCTCGCCTTCACTACCATGCAATAGCGACGGTTTTTTTTTTTTTTTAATAACAGCAGCACCTTATTAGAAGCTTCTCACTCATTGGGTAAGAGACAGATGGGGGTCAGTCATTTCTGATTTCGGATTCATTATACCAGAACTTAACCGACAGTACACTTCCGGCCTCCAAATGCTCAAAACGTCCCAATTGAATAACAAACCAACTCGGATGCTTACCTCTTAGACGCGAAATAGAATGGGTTGGAATAGGAAGCACGGACGGAAGCATTTTACGATGTTAATTTCTATGTTATCCCTAAAACTCATGCCCATTATTTCATATACTACCAAAACATGAATATTATGCCCTAGAGGTATCAGCCTTTTATCAGAACTACAACACGGGAGAAAATTTCAAATCTCGAATGCACCCTACTTCAATGTACCACGTCACTTTGGGTTTGATGCATAAATCACGGTCAATTAGAACATTAGGACTTAAAGCTAGCAACCATGATTTTACTTGGGTTGCGGCCAGCAAAAAAGACGAGATATATAGGCAACTCTGCATGAGGATTGAAACTAGATCAATCATTTGTCATAGCGTCAGATGCGCCTTAAAAGTATGGAATGTGGAATAAGGTTTTGGGCTTTGGGGCCAGCTGTCTCACGCGGACATCACCAAAAGAGCTTGTTAACCCAAACACCTTAATGAAGGCTCCACCACCGCATATCCGTTATCACCGATTTTTGCTGTTCCACGTAGAAATCTACCGCCTAGGCATATAACAGGCCAAATGGGGTGGTGTCTACGGCTCCATCCAAGGTTCGAATGAGTTTTGGTCTCCAAGGACAATTAGTTCTACTTCGTATGGCATCCACTCTATACCTATGGGTGATTTAGAACAACTCTTACCAGAGAAAGTAATAGAGGAGGAATTCTGCGCAGCAATGCACATAAAAGACGCGCTTAGGCCACCAAAAAACCCTGGAGAGAATAAGTAAGCATCAGGAGACTCGGCGAAGCGAGATGGAGGCGATGATATAACCATAGTGGGACGTCCCAATTCAATCTTGGGTGAGCTCGACACCGACGATGAAGATTGCTAGGTCTAGTCCGAATTCCAATATGTACCGGAGGGTGAGGATAATAGTTATCATGAGAGCGATAGCAAAGGGGTTGGTTCTGGCAGCGACTATATTTTCCTTCCATCGGTGCCGTTTCCCTAAGATCCTCTCGCCTGCATTGTCAAGTCAAATAATGAAGGTCATGATTATTAGATGATGCCCTCTCTAATTTAGGAGAGGAGAACCACCAGTAGTGGAGTATTTGTAGGGAATAATACACTCATAGGCTAAGAACTTATCAGGTTTGAAGATGAAGCGGATGAACTATGAATATTATATTAGTCAATATTATAATGGCGTCCTAGGCAATTTGCCTCGAAATACAATTGAAACTTGCACTATTATCAAGCTAATCATGTGATTAATTAGAGCTAACCTGGACGTGACTCCAGCAAAGCTAATAGCCACCGTGCTGACTACCCATACGATTAGGTATCATCCTTTTCTTGCGCCGAACTCGAGCCTACAACTACACCTACCCAAGCCTCTCTTGTTATTATTATATTACAACTCGAATCTAATGATTTTAATGTCTTGAACAATTTTTTTTTTTTTTTATATGGTTACGATATCACCCTGTGGGCCTTCCTCTTTTCACTCCCTCACTTCTTTAACTTTGGCGCCTTCCGCTTGCACAATGTAAGATTTCTACCGTTTCCAGCGACCTAGATTCAATTAGTACTAATATTTTAAGAATAATATCGCTTTTACTTACGCCTTCAGCTAGGCTAATAACTGCGAAATTGGTAACATTGAAATAGTGTTAGTGAAGAGACAACACCGGAGCTCGAAATACGCTATCATTGTTGATATAAGGACTGCTGGTTGGATCAGATGAGTGGATGTACCGAATCATCCAACTGTTTCGATTAAATTCAGCAGGTACATCTTACGCAAGTCGCTTAACAGGAAGATTAAACAACAAATTCTCAACATTTAAATTAGTAGGTGTAATTTGCATTAGGTGAGTCATGAACCAGTGCCGAAGACGAAATATTCTAGTTGATGAAAGCCAACTCTAGGAGACTATCAAATGTTAATGTTGAGATTACTAAGCGTCTATTATAATTGTAGAGCCATATATGTACGAGGCCTAGATGCTTTCTGTCTGGGATAATTATTGAATGATTTACTTTCAATACATGTGACCTTTTACCGGTTCGGCCTTGCGGCGAATTGGGGTTGTGGTACAGCCATTTTCCTAATACTCTTGTGCTTCTGGTAAAAGATGATATATAGCCTCAAGGCGTCTATTATTTAGCGAGATGGCTGGGTTGGGTTCGCCCTGGATGAGGGCAGGGGGTTTGGGAGCTGTATAGAGACGCCTGATTCAATTAATATTCTGTTTGTACGGTAGATTCAGAGGCGGAAGAGTGCTTTTTGTGGTTGCGGAAGCATTTTTTGCTTAGTATTAGGGCTCTACTTTGCCCGCTAAAGGAATAGATCTGTATGCGAACGAAGGAAAATTGAACTGTTTCTACGCTAGGATAAACGTTGGATCATGAGGCAGATACGAAAACAGCGAGACGATAAGTGGGAGGACAGTTAGGAATTATGTTCCGCGTGACATGTAGATTGATGTATTGGACAAATTTCCACATTGGCAACTTGAAGAGCAATGATGAAGTAGATACCATATCATTGGTCTTGTCGTTCCTCAGAAAATTCTTGAGCAATCACCTATTGTACTAAAATCACTCTTCTAAGGTTACGGGATAGCTTGGTGGTTGATTGGTATTTCTTATTTTCACAATCTCCGTACTAAATAACTAATAACTAGTCAAAAAGCGCGTTGAAGCATGAAAGGTTTAAATGAACTGTTGGTATACAAACCTTCCCCGCTCCTCCATATGTTCCTCCTCCAGCTTATTTCACCATTCTCATAGTTGGCATTGAAATATCAGAGACCCGAACCTCATCAAATATGCCATCGCCCTCCCCATCATCGCTTCCATTCCTACCTTTGCCACCTACAAAACTTATGGATGCTCATGCTCTCATCTGCGAAACTCTCGGCACATTCACAAACAACTCTAATCTATAATGGCGATACACTCCGCGCAGCAAATTTGGCTCTATTCGACGGAGCCACGTAAGAAGAAGGATTGCAATACAGTGAGCTCAATGGGTACTACTAAGCACGGCAATAGAGCAAATGTGGGGAGAAGAGAGAGGAGGTTGAAGAGGTGCTTAGGCACGCAATGACGATGTTGAATTATGAGCAGAATTGGGAGAAGAAATGGGGTAGACTTCCAGGATCTGGGGGACGTGGTGCATAAGGTCGGTTGTAGTGTTCCCGGTTATAGAGGGAAATAAATGATATTTGAGGAACTCTACTCTAGACTAAGGTTGTTTGGGATAACTATTCTTTCTATATTTTAATAGTATAAACTGTACTTAACGTGATTGAAGTGAACACTAGCCGCTTCAATAATGTTTGACACTTGCTAGATACTCTAATAAATGTTTGGAAGCGGAAGAAAGAGGGTGTTTGGACTACAATAAACTTTGAAGGTCGGGCCTGATAAATGGCAGAAAGTCCGAACGCTCTGATTGAGAGGGTGCCAAAGTAGGAGACTATCATCGGGAAATTAAACTCAACTATCTGTTTAATAACAAAGTCGAAGGGGCCATGGATAAATTCGAATGATTTACGCTCGTCAGCACTACCAGAATGTCGAGCCAGTTTCACAAAATTTGTCTTTTCATATAATAGCTTCCCCTTCCTACTGACTAGGCTTATATCCGGCCGACGTACCTCTGCTGCGAAAATTCATTCATTATAACCTTCCAATGCAATCACGCTATATTCTTCGTCCTCATACGCAAAACTCAACCCCAGAACAACACCATATTAGAAGTTCTCGGCGTCCGTGATAAAAAAAATTGCCGTAGATATAGCTCTCGGAGAATCGGTAGCGAACTCGGATACTGGATGGGAATTCAAGCTAAACGGATCGGGAACAAAGTAGAACGACATCATGAAGTACGTGAAGATACTTATGGAAGACGAGCAGTACTTCCACCAAAATGTGCCATATCTCTTTCATGGAGTGAATATATATGCTGCCGAATAAATTTATAAAGATATAACTAGGTTTGAACAGGGACAGTCTGGGTGGAAGAGCGCATGTAAACTAGGCTTCAGCGCGGGGTTGAGGGTATTGATTATCGCCCCCGGCAGCATTCTGAGACACAAAAACGTTACTAGGCTTACCGAATCAGGAATAGAGGCGGTACGAAGTAATTTAAGCAAGGCCGATTTGACAACAAGCATGCCAGTAACGGCACTAACCGTTTTGGGATAACTTTGAAAGGAACAGGTCGGAAGATCAA